ACTTGTATTGCTATATACTTTTCTCTCAGGACCGCCTTTGCTGTGTCCCACAGATTTTGAACAGTTGTGTTTTCATTTTCAATTGTTTCCATGAATATTTTAAATTCTTCTTTAATTTCCTGGTTGACCCATTCATTCTTTAGTAGGATGCTCTTTAGCCTCTATGTATTCGAGCTCTTTCCAACTTTCCTCTTGTGATTGAGTTCGAGTTTCAAACCATTGTGGTCCAAAAATATGCAGGGAATGACCCTTATCTTTTGGTACCAGTTGAGATCTGATTTGTGACCCAGGATGTGATCTATTCTGGAGAATGTTCCATGTGCACTGGAGAAGAATTTGTGTTCTGTTGCTTTGGGATGGAATGTTCTGAATAAATCTGTGATGTCCATCTGGTCCAGTGTGTCATTTAAAGCCCTTATTTCCTTGTTGATCTTTTGCTTAGATGATCTGTCCATTTCAGTGAGGGGTGTGTTAAAGTCTCCTACTATTATCATATTACTGTCGATGTGTTTCTTTGATTTTGTTATTAATTGGCTTACATCATCGGCTGCTCCCATTTTAGGAGCATAAATTAGTTATACCATCTCTTAACTTAAAATCACCCAATGGTTTCTTGGGGATAAAATCCAAACCCTTCCTATGACACGTAAGGCTTTTAAAGATGTGGCTCCTGCCCCTCTTTCCAACCTTTAATGCCTGCTCCCAGACTGAACATGCAATCCTCCCTCATTTCCAAGCCTTGCACAGCCACTTCCTCTGCCTGGAATGTCCTTTCCCACTATCCACCTAGCAAATGCCTACCTGTTCTTTACTTTTTGTGACACCTTCCATCTCTTCTCAAAGGCCTCCTACTATCTCCAGCAGAGCAGAGTTCTCCTCACCCTTCATGCACTTATAGGTCCTTCTTCACATTTCAGCAGTGCATGAGGGGACCCATGTCCCACCAATTTGAAGACCCCAGAAAGCATGCTATCAGCCTTACTTCCTTCTCTGTCCTCAACACCATTCACAGTACCTAGCATTCAGAAAGCACTCACATGTTTGCCGAAAAAATGACACTGATGACTTGCAATGAGCTTTATGATTCCAATAACCTAAAATAACAAGTGATAAGCTATTTCTATGACAGAAACTAGTCAGGAAAAAAAGAAGAACGATTGATTTTACTTTAAAAAACAGAGTCAGGAAGCTTAGCATATGAAGCAAACAATTACTAAAAATTAGAGTATATATCACATGTAAAATAAAACAAAGAGAATAAACTCCATTGTCTTTACCCACTCAGTGGAGCAGTTATTCTCAAATATTAGTAGTTAGCAAATCCCAAAGGGAAAGTAAGAAAAGGAAATAGTAGTCACCTTATTTTCTCACATTCTACTTCCATGATTGCTGTATACAAATCAATAAAGATGTAACTGCAGTTATGAAAAAATGAGATTTAGATGTGCTGAAATAAAAAGCATCCATAAATTGCATTAGGTGGGGGAAAAAAATAAACAGGTACAGAATAGTCCATTCTCATTTGCATGGAAAAGAGGGTGGAGAGGATATAAACATATAAGCCTGAATACTCAGAAACTCTCTGCAGTACTAGTAGCCAGCCCCTGTGGATTATAAATAAGGTTCTGAGGCAGGAGGGGGATTTCACTGAACACCCTATTTGAGTCCAAATTTTTACTATGGGCATGCATTAGGTTTTATCTTTCATATCTAGTTAAAACAAACACAACCCACCTAAGGACTCCTGAAGCACTTGGCTTTTGGCACACTCCCTGTTCAGAACCCAGCCATGGTGCTCTCAGACATCGAAGCCCCAAGGAGAGGCCAGACATGTGTGTTCGGGTCAGCGGCTGGCACGGACTGCGGCTGGGAATGAGCCACCTCAGACATCCAGCTCATTCAAGACTTAAATGACGAGCACTACCTCCATCTGACTGCAATTGTAAGAGAGGCATGAAGTTAGAGCTGCCCAGTGAAGACAAGCCAATCCACAGGATCAGGAGAGAAAGAGAATAAATTGTTTTAAGTCAAGGGGAAAATAGAAAAACTAGTTAAGGATTTCTGCCTTGATGTGCAGGTTGATCACATGCATTTATTTCTCTTCTGTCCTGATGGTCCACTAAATTAACATTAAAAGAAATTAAGGTGAGGGGATGCCTGGCTGGCTCAATCAGTAGAGCATGTGACTCTTGATCTAGGGGTTGTGAGTTCAAGTCCCATGCTGGGTGTGGAGACTACTTGAAAAAAAAAAAAAAAAAGAAAGAAATCAAGGTGAAAACCCACAGAGTGGGGAAAAACAAAACAAAACAAAACCAAAACTGAAGAAATGTCAAGGAAAAGAGAAGATGCATAGCTACAAAATTGGAAGTTGGAAAACAGGATAACTCTTAGTAGACCTGAGACATCAGTGATGAGTAGTATTTTCTAGAGAAAACTGAACAGAAAAGACTCAGTGGAAAGCCAGGGCACAGCCTAGACTCCCAGAGTACTAAGTAAAAGTCTACTAATAATGAATGCAAACTCTAGCCAAAGCAGTCAACTGTGACAATATTTTTAGAAATGTATGAACATTAAACATTTACCTTCCAAGAACATTTCACAGGAAACTATTGGCAGCCATGCTTCTACAAAATAAGGATGTCAACCCAGGAACTGGAAGATGCAGGATAGAAGAAATGAGGTGGCCAAATTAGGAGGATACTGAGGCATTGGGATACAAGCAGACAGTCCACAGGACAGGACTACAGAGTTTCTAGGACATAGGTCTCAACGTAAAAAGGAAACTGACACACTGATTTGTGTGAACATTGTGAAAAAACTACCAATACACATTGAAAAGACCCAGAAGAGAAATTAAGAATTCTACATGGAAATTTATAGATGTGGAAAGGAGAAGGTGAAGCAGTTACTAAGTTCAGGAAAAACAAAAAGTTGTGTAAGAATAGAAATGCAATCACAGATACCATTCGGTTCTCCAGGAAGTGATATTTTAGGTATCTATTTAACAATGTCAACAATGAAAATAACAGTGTGGAGAAGAAAGGTTATAACAAGAAGTCAATAAGTAATGCCCAATATAAATTAAGAAATGGGCATATTACTTAGAAAAATGGGGAAAAATCTGTAAGTAATGGGGTGCAGGTTATTCTTTACATTGTATTTTAGAACTGATATTTTAAAATAGACATATATTAATGCTACAAATGATTTATACTTTTACTAATCATAATTTTGTTATTCAGCAATTATAAGATCATTTAATGCTACAAATGATTTATGTTGTCATTAATCATAACTTTGTTATTCAGCAATCACAAAATGATCTTATGAAATAAGGGTTCAGCAGCAGAAGCCAGGATAGGCACTTTTCGTGCTAATCATTGTTTTTAAAATTCAAAATACCAATACAGTCTTGTCAGTCTACATATAAAGTGAGAAGGTATTGAATTCTTCTCTCTTGTAATAGTAAATAGTCCATCCCCAAATCTACCTTACTTAACAATGCAAATCAAACCTCTTGGTTGGATAAGTGTGGTAAACCACTCAAAGGAAAAAAATGTTACAAATGTGCTTTGATAAACAGAATCAGAGTCAAGTGTTCTTGACTCTCCATATTTTAGCTATTACCAGTCATCATTAATCTCTATAATCATGATTCTTCTAAACTGATTCAAAATTAAAACTGAATGATTACCTAAAATGAGTAATTTCTTATGACCTTGAAAGAACAGAAATAGCTTTCAATATCTTTTCCCAAGAATGTACCTTATTTAGATGCATTAGTAATAATATTTTAAAATATAGTAAGACTCAGAAAACTGGACTACACAAACACACACGCGCGCGCACACACACACACACACACACACACGCAAAAACCCTGAATATAAAAAGAGGAAAACTCTTTAGAAAATATAGGTTCCTCCTATCCCAAAAACAATTCTCTGAAAACTACTACTACCATTTCAGATTGTGTTTCACTTTCTGACTTTCTAGATTCAGAAACAAAATCAAAACCAGAATATGAAGGCTTTATTAAAGCAGGAACACCATGAAGAACACAACTGAACAAAATGACATACTTCTAGAGGACCTGACGTACTCCCCCACACACTCTGTATTTCTAGTATAATGGGAAATGGAAAAGAGTCACCAGTATTGTGTTCAGTTTCCAAAATTGTGCTGAGAAGAATTTATTTATTTAAAAACTCTTAGGAGCTAAAACAGTAACTATTAAGAGCTAAAGTGAAAATTCAAATAAAGTTCATATCCTCCTTTAAAATGAAAAATAGTGGGGGCACCTGGGTGGCTCAGTCAGTTAAGTGTCTGATTCTTGATTTTGGTTCAGGTAATGATCTCAGGGTGGAGAGATCAAGCCCTGAGCTGGGCTCCATGCTCAGTGGGGAGTCTGCTTGAGAGTCTCTCCTTCCTTCTCTCTCTCTGTCCTTCCCCCTGCTCTCTCTCCCTCTCTAAAATAAATACAATCTTTAAAAATAAAATCATAAAACAGATGGTAAAGTATACTATAAACAAATGTGTATATATACTTATATATTTATAAATGCATACAAAGGATATATAACAAACCATGTCAGTAAAACTAAATACCCTGATTAATTCTATATGAACACTATTTCCTGGGTATAAATAAAGCAATATATATATAAAAATTTCTTTGTAAATTGTACCTGGTTAACAATCAATAGATATATTTAAGTTTCTTTACTACAATTTCCAAAGAAAATTTTGAAGTCTGTGGACTATTAAAGAACTATGTACTTTTATTAGTCACATGAGGGAGTAACTGCTGTTTAAAACCACAATGAGAGAAACACCTTTATACATGGGACAAATAAAAAGAGAAGCTGGGTTAAAATGTAACAAATAAAGGATGTTGTGAATTTAAATCACATAAGTAAAAATAGACATGTAAAATATGTAGCTATAAAATATAAATATGTAGCTATAAAATAGCTACATACCAATACTATTTTCCTTACCTGCCAGATAGAGGGCAAACGATATAAATCTATGGTAGCGAATGAGGAACTGAAGTTGCTCTTCTCTTTGAACAAATGTAGCAAAATAATCAGCCACAGTCTCTCCATAGAAGAAGTAGTTTACACACAGTAGAAAGTACCTATAATTTAAAAACAATTTGCTTTTTAATATTTGAAGCCTTTTTTCCCTCTTAAACTCAACAGAACTATTCTCTACATTTTGATGATGACACAAAGATCCAAAATCAAATTCAGTAGACAGGTTCAAGATATTTCATCAAAACATGTTTTTCTGCTTTCAGTCTTAATTTCAAATGTATCAGTTAACAAAAATTTACTGAATATAGCTCATGCCTCTACTTAGGTAAAAATCGTTTTCTTTTTTCTTTCTTTACTTAAGGTCAAAGTCTAATGCCAGAGACAGATAATTGGGAAATAACATTAAAAAATACTACACATACACAAACACACACGTTCCTTCTCTCACAGACATACACAAAGACACACACACATACACATCCAGTACTGTTTATAATGAAAATTCACTCCCAACTACTCACAGCTCTAAAGCTTTTTAAAAGTGGAGATCCTATGCCAAATTCCCACTGTTCCCACTGCCCTAAGGAAGATCAACTGGGAAAGCAGGAAGGGGTAATCCAACCTCTGACCTCACTCTTCAATGCCCTGTCCACACTGATGTCTTTCTCTCTCTCCTCCATGCTCCAGATGGACTTCAGTGGCACAGGGATGCTTAAGAGGTAAAGCAGCAGGGGTGCCTGGGTGGCTCAATAGGTTAAGCCTCTGCCTTCAGCTCGGGTCATGATCTCAGGGTCCTGGGATTGAGCCCCGCATCGGGCTCTCTGCTCAGCGGGGAGCCTGCTTCCCCCTCTCTCTCTGCCTACCTCTCTGCCTACTTGTGATCTCCGTGTGTCAAATAAATAGACGGAATCTTAAAAAAAAAAAAAAAAAAGAGGTAAAGCAGCAGGTAAAAATCTCTAAGAGAAACTTCTTAAAACTGCATAAATCACCTGTCCCTCCACTCAGCTCTGGTATGCCCTTTCCACCCAGGGAAAGGTTGAACCCATGACATTTCGTTGATGGCAGCTAGTGTGAGCCAGGAAAAAAAAAAAAAAAAAAAAAAAAAAAAACAAAAACCCTGAGAAATACTGCCTCAGAGTTCCTCTGTGCCTCATCCTTTGAAGGGCAGAGTCCCCGGTGGCTGGGAGAGCAGAGGGAAAAAGGAGCAATTTTTCTTCTACATGTCATGGATGGAATCTGACCCCACTGTTTTAAAGTAAAGTATGTTCATTTCTTATCAGCTGCATAACCATGTTCTACTCTCCTACAGTGGAAACTGTCTTTGACTCCACTGTAAGGCTATCAAGGCCTACTCTAGACCACCAGCCCAACTTTTTGCCCAGTTGCCTCAGGAGAGCCAGGAATGTCTCTCCATATGCGGCACGTGCCTCTTCATTTCCCCATCTAGAACCCCATCTAGAAGCTGCTAGATACAGCTTCGCCAATGTAAAACACACTTCTCTATCCAAAACTTGTCTTTATTTCAAGTGATAGTTTCTCACCTTTTCCTCTCTGTAAAGATTTCTACAATCACTGGAGCCCATCCCGACCTGACTTTTTTTTCCCCCTACACTTAGAATCAATCAATCCCACCTGGTTTAGCATTTAATTATTCTCCAACTGCTTACTCTACCTAACGTTTCCCATAATTTTGCCCTTCATGAAAAAACCTGTTATAAGGAAAAATTAGCTATCACCAAAACTAAGAAACTATTTTTTGACCCCTTTAAACCCCAAAAGTGATATATTTGTTTTCTTAAGACACTGGACCCTCTGGCTGATACTAATCAAATAACTATATTCAAAGGCATGGCCAGTTAGGTCAATTATGAACAACCATACTAACATGTTTCCTGGTCAAGGTCTTGATAACTAAAAATTGTACCTGAAAAGTTGTAAAAAGATATAGAAAGCTTTAAATATTAAAAAAAAAAAAAACACTTTAACTATTAAAATCACATGACTTTTTTTAAACCTAATTTTTACATGTATTTATACCTAAACAATATTTCATGGGCTGGTAATTGCCAGTGCTACTTACAAGGCTGCCTTACATGGCCCCCTCAGAGGGTCTTACTCTTCCCTCTGACTACCCTTCATGTAGTGTATCTTGGGGCCAGGGAGTGAAGACAAGATCAAACCAGGAACAACAAAGGTAGTAGTCATCTCTCTTCTCACTGCCCTGCGCAACCCTCACGGCCTACCTCCCTGTAGAGGTACTCATCCTGGGCTTTCCTTCCCTTCAACAAATCACTGATCACTCAAAAAACAGAACAGAAAACTCACAACTATTTTCATATTTCATCTTTGTAGAGATAATCTAAGTGTGAGGTCTCATGTCAACCAAGGCAAACTAAAGCAAAAAAGATCACACATATTTCTAACATTTTACAAAATGTAACTTTCTTAAAATAATTATAAATGGTATAAAAATGTGCCCAATATAATGTTTTTTAAAGAGGATAATAGTATATATGTGAGTATATACAGATATAAAGTATCTACAAAGACTTAAAGATGAGATATGAAAATAGTTGTGTTGGGATGGTAGACTTAAAGGTGATTTTCTTTTCAAAATCTAATGCATTATTTTTCTCTTCCTCCAAAAATCAATCTACATGGTCAACCGTGTGGTACTGACTGATCAGGATGCTTCCTTTACAAACTGTAGAAAAGAGTCACATTTTCATATCTGAAACAGTATTAAAATACTTACCAGCTTAATGTTCTAAACCATGGCAGGTCATAAGAGCGATAGACTCTATAACCTATAGTGATAATTTCATGGAAGCATTTCACTTGGATGCCTAGAACCTGAAACCAAGAGAACACATTAACATACATCACTTAGTGTTTACATTTGTGCTTCATCGTTTAATATGCACTTTGTTATCAAATGTATTTTAAAAATCTTTAGCCTACCCATTTTTAATTATTCTAAATGTCGGTAGTAGAAATTGAATAGTCTATGCTTCTAAGATCAAGTGATATTTTAAAGGGGTAAGCAAATCAGTGTTTTATCCAAAAAGTGAGAGCCCTTTCCTGGGGTAGGAGGTGGTGCTGTAGCTTAAAGTTTGACGGATACAGTCTGGTTGGTCACAGAGTAGGCTTTATCCCTCATTACTACTTCATTTCTTGGTTTCGTCCTTCCTACAATGAATGATCTTTTTGTCCATTTTGTTTCTTGAGTTACCCCAGGAAAATGATCGTATGTGCAAGTTTGCTTACATATACTTATTTTTAGCCATACATCCTGGTATCCTTTCCAAGGATAAAGATACTGTCAGAACAAATGATTAAAACATCTTTCCCCTGCCATCCAGCAGGGTTTGGGCATGGTTTTTTCATTCTCCCAGCTGTGCCAACTCTCACATAGCCAGGTGCATATATCTCTCATCAATCCAAGTGGTGCTACATTGGCAGATCATAAAACAGCCTTCTACATTTGCAGCCACTTCAGCCAGTCACTGATTCTATACAGTTTTGTTTGCATAGTGTCCTATGTACATTCATAATAAATGGGTTAATATTTATGAAACTTTTTTTGGTGGTCTACTTAGTAGTCCTTCAAACTGTTGTATCCACCAACTGGAATACAGGTAATCCTTGAGGATGGAGCATCGTAGTCAATGCTTGGCTTAAGTCAATTCTAACACTCAAAGAGCAAGTGGCAAGTTGAACACTTATTACCATGAATCAAGAAATTAAAATCTTTGTGAATTAAGTAGACTATTTCAGCGTCTAGAGAGTATACCCAAGGGCTTGATTTTGTATAGCTCTAGAGCTAAAAATGGATTTTATATTTTTAAAACAAAACCCAAACATGATGTGACAGAGAAATAATGTGGTTCCTTAGCCTATATTTTTACCTGCTTCTTTACCTAAAAATCTTACCAAACTCTGCTCAAGAAAATACTTTGGTATCTCTTTTATTTTTTACTTTTTAAAAGATTTTATTTATTTGATAGACAGAGACATAGTGAGAGAGGAAACACAAGCAGGGGGCGTGGGAGTGGAGAAGTAGGCTCCCTGCTGAGCAGGGAGCCTGATCCGGGACTCAACCCTAGGACCCTGGGACTCAACCCCAGGACCCCGGGACCATGACCTTAGCCAAAGGCAGACGCTTAATGACTGAGCCACCCACGGGCCCCTACTTTGGTATTTCTTTTAAAGTTCTCCATAAATTAGCTCTCCCAAAGCTACTGGTCAGGATGTTCTTAGGTTGTGTTTACATGTCCAATCATATACTTAAAGTAATTGTGTCCCCTCAGCCACATGATAAGAAAATATTAGGCCAAACTACTATAAATAGGTTTTTTAAGAAAAAGTCATTACTGCTTTATAACATAAAGACAAGAAGAAATTCGAATAGTGCCTTTCAAATAAGCTTTGAATATAATGTCAAAAGTTATTTTCTAAAATAATTACAGAATGAGGACAATGCTAGATGTTAAAATAAAATGGCAAGTCCATGCAATTTATAGAACCAAGGGCTTTTAAGACATCAGATGCACTGATGCAATTTCTATTTGCTAAATGAACACGTTTGCTCAAAAACAACCATTAGTACTATACATGGTGTTTTACTGCGGAGGGAGAAAGCTACTTTTAATAGCACACATATATGATTGTCAATTATAGTTTGCAAGTAGAATCAATACAGAGCTACTGAGAAAAGAGAAAAGGGGGGTGTTCAAAACAACAAAGCTAAAGTCCTTAAAATATGTGTATATCTTCCAGGCTTGGTGATTACACAGAAACTCATATTCTAGGCCATCAATACCAGTAGCAATGCACACTGGTAGGACTTTGTTGGCCCAACAAATGTGTTAAGAGCCTTAAAAACAGCAACCAGTATGAAAATGCCTACTCTGCTAGTTATTGAGGATTCAGAGAAACAATACAGGACATCTGTCTTCAGAGGGCTAGCCTGTCAGGGAGGACACAAGTGGTTACAACACCACATGGAAGTAGGCACATGCAGGTAAGCACAGCCAGACAGAACACGTGTGGCAGGCACTGGGGACAAGCTGCAGTCGGGAAAGAGGAAAAGGATACATAGAATCACAAATACAGGAGAGCATGAGGCATGCTAGGGAACTACAAATAGTTCAGAGCGGCTGAGATACAGGGGTAAGAAGCAGAGAGAGGAAAGCCTGGTTACAGAATCACAGCAACCAGTATGAAGGACTACACGAAGGCGTTCATCCTGATCACTAAAGGCCTTGATCAGATATATGTGCTGGGAATAAGAGAGGTGGAAAGAACAGCCTCGAGAGGCAGCAAGAGTAAAGACAGGAAGGCAGGCAAGATACTATGACCCTGTCAAGTGCAGATGACACTTTAACTGGGCCACTGGCAGAGGGGGGTAGTACGAAGAGTAAGACATTGAGGAGAGAGAACTGGCTGGATTTGGTGGTTGAGAAAACTGGGGAGCTAAGGGTGACAGGGGAACATGGAATAAGAGCAGGGGAGGTTTTGGGAAAGTAGACAGATTTATGCAGAATGACTGGGGATGGAACAGAAGTTCAGATTTGGATATGCTGAGTCTGAGCTATGTTATTACGGGTTATCCAAACTAAAGTGCTTATTTTCACTTTGGGAATCTATTCAAAGAAAATAATCCTGCATATGAAAAAGTTTTACGTTCTAATATGTTCAGGATAGTGTTATTCACCATAAAGAGAAACCAAAATAGAGCCTGAATGTCTGAAAATAACACAGTAGTTCATAAGTTATGATGCATTCCATTCCACTGAATCCATGAATGTTTTAAACTTGACTGGGGGAGGGTGCCTGGGTAGCTGTCGGTTAAGGGTCTGACTTAAGTCATGTTATAATTTCATTTTCGTGGGATGGAGCTCCACATCTGGCTCCAAGCTGAGTGAGGAGTGTGCTTCAATTTCTCTCTCCCTCCCCTCTGCTCCTCCCCCTGCTCCTTGGCACACATGCATGCTCTTTTTTTAAGTTTGTTTTTTTTTTTAAGATTTTATTTATTTGACAGAGATCACAAGTAGGTGGAGAGGCAGGCAAAGAGAGAGGAGGAAGTAGGCTCCCTGCTGAGCAGAAACCCCAGTGCAGGGCTCAATACCAGGACCCCGGAATCCATGACCTGAACCAAAGGCAGAGGCTTTAACCCACTGAGCCACCCAGGCGCCCCCAGGCTCTCTCTTTTAAAGATGTTATTTATTTATTTGAGAGAGAAAGAGAGAGCATGAGAAGGTGGGGGAGGGGCAGAAGGAGAAGCAAACTCCCCCACTGAGCAGGGAGCCTGATGTGGGGCTTGATTCCCAGGACCCGAGATCATGACCTGAAACAAAGGCAAATGCTTAAATGACTGAGCTGCCCAGGTACCCTTAAAAAAAAAAATATTTTAAAATTAAATTGATGGTTGTAAAGATGGTGGAAAAACACAAAACACTGATATAATATTTAGTTTAAAAAGCAGGATACAAAAGTCTAATCACTTTGAATTACAACATAATTTTTAAAACATAAGAGATAAAAGAAAATATATCAAATAGCAGTATTAATTGGGTGTTGGTAGTTGATGATAGGGTTAGGGGTAATCTTCAAAAAATTATCAATTTCCCAATTTTAACACTCTTGTATAACTCTTGCATGTGAAAAAATAAACTATTTAAAACTAAATTATATAATGTGAATTAAAACTTATAGGAGTTTCTAAGAAGATGAGGGAGGAACCTCTTATACTATCTGCCTTTAAATCAAAATATATTTTAGTACCTCCATCATTTAGAAAGTATGGCTGCAAGCCATGAATGCAACAACTAAAAAAGTATTTTTTTAAGATTTTATTTATTTATTTGACAGACAGAGATCACAAGTAGGCAGAGAGGCAGGCAGAGAGAGAGGAGGAAGCAGACTCCCCGCTGAGCAGAGAGCCCAATCCCAGGACACTGGGATCATGACCTGAGCCGAAGAAGTCAAAGGGTTTAACCCACTAAGCCACCCAAGTGCCCCTAAAAAAGTATTTTAAGTAGAAGGCTGAACATCTTATCATTTATCTTGTGCTAAGAAACATCTTATTATTCATTACTCCTATTAGGAGTTCCATCTTAAAGTAGTAGCTATCATTTCCTAGAAATAAGTTTTCTGTGTTTTTTTTTTAAAGATTTTATTTATTTGTTTGAGAGAGAGTGCGTGCGAGCATGGGAACAGGAGAAGCAGACTCCCCGCCGAGCACAGAGCCCGATGTGGGACTTGATCATGACCTGAGCTGAAGGCAGTCACTTAACCAACTGAGCCACCCAGGCACCCTAGAAATAACTTTTTAATAAAACTCCCTTGAATTAGTCATTTATGAGTGCTGATATTGTAGGGCAAATGCAAGCTACGTACAATGCATCCTTCTCAAAACATAGATGACCTAGTTAGGGATATGAACATAAGTAGGACTTTAAAGCACATAAAAGTAATAGTGATTGAGTGCCAACAGTGTGTGCATATGTGTATGTCCACCTACATTTCCTTAACAGGAGTATCATAAATGGGACATAGGTACGTGTGCACATGCACATCTGTGCATGCCTGTGTGTGCGTGCAGGGCAGTAACCTAAATAAAAGCTGAAGTTCAAATCTACTTTCACTAGTCCTTAATATTCTTTGCTGATTGAGCTCACCAATGAAAGGAAGAACTTGTAATAAAATGGTATTTTCCTTTCATAGGAGAGAAAAGGACCAAGAAAGCCCAAGCACTTTAGGTATGCTTATGATTCTCTTTAAAAAATCAGAATCCAAATATGTAAGGATGTCTTTAGAGGTGTTTTGAATTTCCTCACAAATGAGTGGTTAAAAATTAGCCTTTATCCACAAATTGTGGCCCAAGTTACCACACCAAACAGTTTAGTGTGGAGAACGTTCACAGGAAGCCCACCAAACTGTCTGGAGTCTGTGTACTAAGGATACTCGTGTCCTTCAATGACTTAGCTCCAAAACACCTTCTAAAGGGTAATAATGTAAGTGATCCCCAATATTTTCAATGGTTCCCCAGTGCTTTACAAATAAATCCCAAACTTCTTCACATAGTATTGCAGGGCCCTCCAGAATCCGCTCCCCAATTAGTTCTCCAAGTTCAAAGCCCCCGTGTTCCAGGAAAAGGGCATTGTTCACCTTTCTCTGACTCATCTAGCCATTCAGACCTTTGCTCATAGTGCTCACTCCACCCTGATCTACCTCAGGTCAGCTGAAAGGTCCCCTCCTCCACAAAGCCTTACAGAGCTGTCTGCTATCACACCATCCCTCATCCCCCAACCCGCCACTTAGCACACAGCACTGAAAAGTGCTCTGCATACACTCACTCCTGAAAGGCCCAAATTCTGAGGCCAGTGGTGGCTGCCAGCACTCATCGCCCTCCGTGGGTTTACACTGAGAGGACTAGGAGTGGGCTCTCCGTGGGAGTCACACCTGGACAATGGTCACACCGGCCTATGTGGCTTTTAGGCTCAACATCTTCTGCCCTCACATTAAAGTGTCCTATCTATTCTGCATTGTTTCTTTGTAAGAAAAATTTCTCTGTGATGTCAACAAACAGAACAGAGAGAGTGATTGCTTACTCACCGCTGTTACCTTGAGATCCCCAAGGAAGTACAAAATTAATGAGGGGACAAAAAGAAAGTGAAAGGGCTTTATGGTACTAATAAGAACTGCTTTAAGTGCTTTTAGGAGTTGATGGGATTTCCCCCCGCTCATTTCTAATTTCACTTCAGAACTTATTTATTGTTTTATAGACTGAAAGGAAAACCACATTGTACTGCCCATGTTTATGACTATGGATAGGACTGAGCACGGAAGGGAGCAGACAGGTCAGAGAGATAGGCATCTACGTGGGCGACAGCAGCCAGAGAGCAGGGTGGTGGGTGCAACACAGACTGAACTAGTGGAGAACCCATGATGAAAAAGAAACAGCAGAGGGGCGCCTGGGTGGCTCAGTGGGTTAAGCCGCTGCCTTCAGCTCAGGTCATGATCTCAGGGTCCTGGGATCGAGTCCCGCATCGGGCTCTCTGCTCAGCAAGAAGCCTGCTTGCTTCCCTCTCTCTCTCTGCCTGACTCTCCGTCTACTTGTGATCTCTGTCTGTCAAATAAATAAATAAAATCTTTAAAAAAAAAAAAAAAAAAAAGAAAAAGAAACAGCAGAAAAGAAGGACACATGCATCTGGGGGAGAGCAGACTCTCCCCCCGCCCTGCTGAACACGCTCAGCACCCAGACATGCTGCGTGAACCCGGTGAACAGGCACCTTTCTCCTTCTCACTCCCACCACTTTGGGCTTCAGATGTTTCATGCTTCTTTGGAAATCGAGGCTTTTATAAATGTGAGTCCTCTGCTGTGACACTCTGCCCCCAAGCTCCCCTCTCACCTCTCACCTGCTCAAGCTTCAAAGTGCAGCATGCGTGCAGGGCAGAACACCTCTGGAAAGCTTCCTGGCTCCCCCCTTGCTCTCACAGCATCTTATTCTTTTTTTTTTTTTCAAATGCTTATTGCAGTTTGTAACTATAGTTCTGATCCATTCTTAAAAGTGTAGACAGCAAACTCCCTGAGGGGAGAGACGAGTGTGCTTTTCTCAGCACCCCATATCATACCCCAGAATTAGGGCAATGCCTGGCACATAGCAGGCACTCTGGAAGCATGTGCTAAATGAATGATTTAAAAGCTTAAAATATCTGTTTGGCAGCAGGACTTGTTAGAGTCCCCATACACAATAAAATCCAAGTGCCCAGAATGGCTTCTGCTTGCCTCTCCAGTCTCATCCCTAGGTACCTCCAAGGCACAGCTTGCAAATCTGCCAACAAACCACATTCTCTCATTATCCCCATGTCTTGTTTCTGATGTCCCCACCTTGCAATGCCCTCTCCCTTCTTCAGGACTCAACGTTGGAATCCCCTCTTCTGGAAGTTCTCCTTGTTCTATGTCAGGCTGATTACTTTTTTTCCTGTGCTCAACCAACACGTTCTATGACAGCACTCACCCACTTATTTACTATACTATTTATTCATATGGTTACTTCTATGTCTCTGCCATTAGACTGAGTTCTTTGAAGTGAGGGATCTGGCTAAGAGTCCTACATGATAAAGTCATGTGTGTGTGAACTCATTAGCAGTATCTAATGCTTGGCAGAATGTATTTATTAAGCATACTTGGTCTCTGCTGAGTAAACACACTGAATGGCTACTTTGCAAACAGAAAAGATTGGTCCAGCTCATTTCATGAACCAGAAGATGCTTAAAAGAATGAAATTCACTGTTACCAAACCTTGAATTACCTTCTTTTTTATGACAGGCTCAAATTACTTCAATCATATCTGTGCTGAAAAACAAAGCAAGAGATACTCAGGGAAATGTGAAACACTTACAAGAAGCATCAGCATAAATGATCCCATATAGATGATCAGGAAAAACAATGAAATCATAGTTAGAGTAAGAATTCCACGAATCCACCAGTTTTTCCACCTACAAAGAAAATGTTTATAAAGTTAGTATTTAATGTATTCTTTCTTACAGCTTTTTGTGTGGTTTTAGCATTACCAGACTTATATGGATTTTTGCTAATTCTACCTTAAGAAACCCTTACTTCACCTTATATAATAACCACAAAACAAACACCGAACAAACAGCATTTGTTCACTTACTCAGAGCTAAATTAAGTGTAAAAATTATGTTAGCCAAAGAAAGAAACGAATTTTCGTTTGGTGTGATTAATCACTAGGGTGACTGATGAATCACTAGGCTAGGCAGTGAGATGGTCAATGTGGATATGTGCACATCCCACCAGGGCATTCAGAATGGAAGAAGGCAGGTGCAAAAGTCCTCCGAAAAGATGCACTATCCTTTAGGGTGGTAGGAAAAAAACAATAATGATTTTATTAAGGTGGTTTAAACAGAGAACACAGACTTCTAATGAGAAAAATTAAAGAAAGGTTAATGCAGAAGTGAAACTGCAAAACACAGCGATTTCAATGAAATGAAAAAGACACAAGAAAGTCACTGAGGTCAAGACCAGACTGATGGTTACTTCCTTCTAGTGCTCAGAGTGTGCTGCTGGCTTGCCTCACTTAGGGACAAGGGCCTTAAGTATGAGAGTGTTTCCTCACCCTTGGGCCTTCGCTTGTTCCTTAGAGGGGAACTTCTCTGCTGTATGCCCTGCCAGGCTGAGACTGATCTCCCTTGGTCCTCTGGCTGCCAGGAAGGGCTGGGGTTTTGCCCAGTGGCCCTCTCTCCACACCCAGGAGACTCACCCTTTATTCCCAGCATACTTTACAAATGTCACTCTTTCTGTGGCCATGTCAGGAAAAATGTCAGCAGCTACAGTGTCAAACTGAAAGGATGCTAATAATACCTATATATGGATGATATTTCTGAATCTAAAATTTCTTTCCCCTGGTTTTATTCATTCTACACTGAACTCACAGTAAAGTTTTTCTTTAAGACCTCTCTGATTTCTATTAATTCAAATGACAGCATTGAAATTATGTTACAAGAGATCTGGGTTCATCTTAACATATAGTAACACACACACACACACACACACACACACAATATACACTGTGTTCTAAGCACATGCCTTCATTCTCCTGTCTACAAAAAGAAATATTTGCTGACTTCATCCATTTATCAAATATTGATTACACTCCCTGCTTTCAACCACTCTCCTATACAGTCTAGATATTTCTTAAATATCCCTTTTATGATGTCATTTCTGCATTCAAGATCTAAAATGCGAACAATAGTTAAGTCGAAACACTTTCATCTAGCTTCCCAGGTTTTTCAAGAGGTGGTCAAATTGTATTTACCCAACTTTATTTCCCTCTACTGTGTAACAAACTACGTAGACACATAAATTTCTCATGAGACCGTAAGTTTTAGGACTGAACTGAAGTGAGAGGAGAGTCAAAAAATGCTATGGCTGAAAAGTTCCATTTAGTTTTATAGACATAACTCTTTGTGGATTAATGAATAGACTGGGAACTGGGCTAGGTCACAGAGCTAGTCAGAGGTAAATAAAGGACCAAAAGCCAGTCTCCTGATAATAATCCTTCTCTGTTTGCATGAAACCCAGAGGCATATTTAGCTCTCCTTTAAAACTGATCATCTGACTTGGAATTGTTCAGAACCTACAGAAGAGGACACTACGTAAGTGTCAGAAATCAGTGCCCAGGCGGATGTTTCCAAGGTCCATGTATACCTTTGTTAGATGCCTGGCTTTGAACTTCAGAGGATGGTAGCTGCTGAGAAACAGAGATCTTAAACAGAAAACCTACTTTCTTCATATCATCCAAAAATTCCATGGTAACTGAAAACCTGAGCCCTCAAGGAACATATCCTATCTGGTTATCTTTTATATGGCTTTTCCCCCCTCCCAGGAAAATTCCCCTCCCCCAACAAGGGTTAAAGACTTAATTCTCTTAATTATTCTAATGAATTCCCCAAATCTCCTATGGATACCTAATACAAAGGTAAGCACATAAAAGAACATACTTAAACATAACATATATATCCATTGACGCAGTAACTGAAAGTCATCCTTTAAGAGAAAACCACTAAATTCAAAACAGAGCATGATATGGGGGATAAAAAAACACTGTGACTAAAAACCAGAGGATAGCCTGATTCTGAATTCAAAATTCTTGATTTCTTTTGCCATGCTATCACGACCACATAATAAAAGTCTTAATTTTGAGTCCAAGTCATCACCTCAAGATTGCTTTGAGAAAAGGAACTCAGAATCAGTAAAGGAGAACTACATTCAAGTCTCAGTCTCCAGGACCTATGTGAGTAAGAAATGAGATTTCTAAAAAGCATATAATTAAGCAATAGCCTTAAAAGTGATTATCCAAAGTGGTCATACACTTATTGCTCAAATTGTTCATGAAATGTACCATGTTGCACTGCTACTACAAACATCAAGTGGTTTTTATTTCAAAAGTAATGACAAAGTTTTTTAAAAAAAATTATCTTCCTAGTGGCACAAACATCATGAGTCAAGAATTTGGGTTGGCAAGGCAGTTCACCTGAGCCAAGAACTGGTATACAGAGATACTCGCCAAGAATGAACAAGAATTTTATGGGCCATCTGGCAAAGAGAAGTTTTGAGAAAATCCATCTATCAGCCTTTGGAGGAATTGGACAGGAAGTATGTAAACTCCCGAGAGAAGGAAAATGCATACTGTATAAGAGCACTGAGTATGAGGCTATGTCTGGATATTTCCTTGGCTTCTCAACCTGTGTTAATAACATTCTGAGCCAGAGAATTCTTTGTCACGAAGAACTGTTCTGTGTACTGTAGGATGGTCAATATCCTCCCTGGTCTCTCCCCACTGCATGCCAGCTGCACTATCTCTCTTGACCACTTACAATGTCTCAAACGCCACAAATGATCAAATGCCACATGTCCACTGGTGTGGTCTGGGGGGGTCAGGGCATTGTCCCTGGATGAGAACTACTAACCTAGACTGATAGTTGAAGAAGAGCTTCACTAACAGACAGAACCAGACTTAACTGGTTAATGACTATTCATTCCCACAGACCCACACACAAAGTTCACAAAACAGACTGGGACAATTTTCCAAGTAACTGAAAACCTTCAGGCCCCTTCCAATTTCAACAACTTATGCTCTGTTTGATATTATATATTAAAGACTTAAAAATGAGCATAAATCTTAACTTAGCTACAAAGAAAAATGTTTAATACATTTATTATTTAGTTGTTTTTAATCATGAAAATTTGGAAACCAGCTAAATGCCCAGCAAAAACCATTTAGTTGAGTAAACTGAACTATGGTCATACAAAGGAACATACCATGCAGTCATTAAAAATATTTAAGTATATTTAATGATGTTGTTCCTAAAACCACAGAATGAAAATGTAAATAGAAAGGTAAGAAACAATACAATGTTATTTTTTATATTATACACCCCCCACATATTTATACACAATGCACAAGGAAAAAAAGTCTCAAACAGTAGCTTCCAGAATACTATAAATATCAATGTTTGGGGGGGAGGATTACAGGAGTTCCCCCTCCCCATTCATGTACTTTTTAAATGTAATTATTATTTTTAATCCCATACATCTACAACTTCTAAATCTTTGGAAGACAGACCATTTTGGGTATTCGTTTAAAGAGAGCCTAAAATAAGATAGATTTTGAAACATTCGTGTAGCCCTTAGGGCAAAGTTTGAGAAGACTGAAACTATTTATATTATTATTTATTGTTCATTTTTAAAAACCAATTCTTTTATAAACAGAGCACAATACTTAGGGGTCACAATGTGGTTCTATCACTTACTAAATGCATGACCCCTGATACAGAACATTTCTGAGCCTCAATTTCTTCATTTGTAAAACAGGCTTATATAATTGAACCTGTAATACAGGGTTGCTGTGAGAACAGTCAACACATGTGAAGCATCTGGAGTAGTGCCCAGCACACAGCATATGCTCAATAAATATCAGCTGCTATGATTTGCTATTGTTCCTTTATACTGGGGGGGAACCTCATTATTAGGGAAAATCTACTATAAATAACACACAGGAATCCAGCATCATTCTTATGTAACATTAATATAAAAAAATTTCAGACCTGAGATAGACCTGATAAGATTTTAAAGCAAACGTACATCTGTGAATGAGGTCAGAAAAACAGATCAAGACCTATTAAAATAATAATCATGTTTTTGGTAATAAACAGCAAAAAGCTGTTCTATTAGTTAAAAAATATGAAAACTTCTGTTTGAACCAATTTATTCTAATATGGTTATCTGCTAGGAATTGAAAACAGAAAAACTTACATTTATTAGATATGACTAACCAGTGTTTTTTGTTATGACCTATGGGGTAGTAAAATCAACTTAGTAAGTCACATCCAGCATTTTTGTTCAATAATATAGAATAACAAACAAAAGAAATCAGAGGGTATCGTGCACAGTAATACAAGAACTGCTTCATAATATTTTTGCAACTGTTAAAATACACATTTGTGTGTTTCTTGGGATGTGGTGTAAATGTATCTCCTACTGTGTGTCACAGTCAAAAAAGTTGGAAAAACACTGTTCTATACCAACATTTAAGATTTCACACATTGATCTGGATAAAAGCTTGTATTTATTTCGCTTTTATAAATTTCATAGCTCATATTAGTGAAGCATACAATGGAGGGCAATATAAGAGTAGCTCAAATTTGGTGGTGGCCAAACATTCAAAACCAAAGCAAACATAAACTGGTAAATAAAGGGCTGCAGAGTTTTGGCTGATAATTTTAAACTTAGTTAAAAGAAAAAAATGGCCTATTTCCATCTGGCATTTGAAAAACAGCGAACAGAGAACACGGGATTTTCTTTATTGGATGTTCCGATACCAGAAAAGGCAACCTGATGTGGTGAATGGATCACTCACTGGAGAAATGTGACAAATTAGGGCAAGAGTCCCAGGTCTGCATTATCCTAGCTCTGTAACCTTCCCCAGTTAACCTCTCAGATTCAGTTTTTTCATATTTCACAAGACTGTAAGGACTAAATGAAAGAAGGTACATCAAGCATTTAGTACCATGCCTCACATATGGTGAAAAAGTATAAGCCTTCCTTTCACAGCTCCAAAACTTAGAAAAAGTGAGATTTATGACATCAACCAGCATAACTTCACAACTTCTCTTGAGCACCCATTACAGTCATCTTCCTCCCATCATACCTTGAAGATAAACCAGATAGAGCTTTCTTGAGGATCTCAGGGGTTCTATCTGAAGATAGTGGAATTTCAGGAATATCAGAATCTGTTCTGGAATCCAAGTCTCCATATCTGTCATCAATATCTGTTTCCTAAAATTAAAGAAAAAGGAAAATCACTGCAAAATTGAAAAAGAAAAAAGGACATGCTTGTCAACGCAAGTGTTTATTGCTCAGTGCGTCAAACCTCAGTTATGTAACTTGAAACAAAGAAACAACTATTAACTTATCTTGAATAACCAAGCACTGTTGTACTTCCCTGTTAGGAAAGTTTGATGATATTTGCTAATATCTATCAATATAAAGGATTAATTTAAACAAAAGACACAAATAGAAACTTCCTATAGTATCTAAATTAGAAATTTATCAACAAGAATCAAATGTTTGTTGTTTTGCTACTTAACGGGGAGAACAGGGTTAATTCCAAGTAAATTCTGGCCAACTGTGCACAATCCCTGTTTTATCTGATTACAATCAAAGCATCAACAACAAAAGCAGATTCTTACACTGGCACAGCATTATATACATATGTATATATGTACTTTCACTTCCCTCATTCTTATTAGATCCTCCAGAGACAATCTCAGTGAAGCAGGTCAACAGACATTATCATCTCTATTTTACTGATAAATAATTAGGATCAAAAGCATTTGCTTTGATGGTAGTATTTTTCACCATAAAGTGAGTTAAAGCCCAAACTGCCTTCTAAGAGTACATGCACAGGAGCTATGTGTGTATACTGGGGCCTTTAGACAAAGTGGTCACTGTGGAATTTCCAGGGATAGACTGGCCAAGGAATTTTAAGAACACAGCTGCCTGGGGCACTAGGGTGGCTCCGTTGGTAAGTATCTACCCTTTGGCTCAGGTCTTGATCTCAGGCTTCTTGCTCAGTGGGGAGCCTGATTCTCCCTCTCCCTCTGCCTGCCACTCCCCCTGCTTGTGCTCTCTCTCTCTGTGTCAAATGAATAAAATCTTAGGAAAAAACAAAAACAAAAATGAAACAGAGCTGCCTGATGTTGTTTTAAAGTTGTTTGTTCTGCCGTAATGTGTCTCTACTCCTATGTCTTTCCCTCTCTTAAATTCACCAACCCCCAAGCAACCTTGAGTAAAGAGTGCTACACATACATGTACTTTGGGAGAGTGGTTTACAGATGGGTAAACTGAGGCAAAGGGGGCTGAACTGGGGCGATGAAAATATAGGTGAATACAAGTAGAAGGAGCACTGAGCAGAGCACTGGGCCACAAGTGATCCTAGGAATGAGAGTGCCTAGGAATTCAGTGTTCAGGAATTTCAAACCCAGCTCCGTCCCTATGGGCAACAAAATTTTGGTAAATTTCATTATCCCTTTTACCTGTTTCTTCAACCATAAAATAAAAGCATTTAATATAATGCTGAGGCCTAAGTCAAAGTAGTAGTAAGCTATGATTATGATTGAACCAAGTCTTCCAATTCCTCATTAAATAGCTCACCAAATAAAATTTTAGCCTTGGGGGAGTATTTTCAGTTTTCATAAAGCAGTAATAAACTTTCATTGACTAACTATAACTTTCTTAATAAACAATTATTAAATTAAATGTGTCATTATACCAAATATGAAAAATGAAATAGACATGCTGAATTCCCACTGTGATAGAGTCAGCTGTCCCCAAAGTAGCTTAAACAGAGAGAGATGCTGATTAATAAACCACCAGACAGAACATCCCCTGAAAATCTCAGAGCACCTGCTGTCAGTCTGGCTTGCCAGCATGTCTTTGACATCCAGAATAATGGAACACATGACTTTCTCCCCACCCCTCCTTTTCTCTGCTACTCTTCTTTAACCTTCAGTAACCCGGTGTTGCTGGCATGGTGTGAGCAGTAGTAGAGATGGTGACTAATGGATGTGGCTCCCTAAGGCAACGTCACCATGTTGCCCAAAGAGCATGACTAGGAACCACAAGTTGCTGGCACTAATTTCACTTCTACTCTATTAGTGTGATGAAACGCAAATTACTTAACCCTTTGTAAGTAGGGTTTTTTAAGATACTCAGCCTTTGGTTTCCCCATAAAACAAAAGCATTGTGCTGGAACACAAACTGCACTCCTTCAAACACTAAAGCTCTCAGCAAGCCACTTGAAATTCTACTTGGCAATAATGGTGACGTGCCACAACCCCCCTCGCATGCACACGTTCTCCAATAGCTGCTGTGCTTTTATTTTTATTATTTAAACTTCTGATTTCTATTTTACATACCTTAGAGAAACACAAAATGAAACACTTAAGATTTAACTAGGCTTCTTCAATTCCAATCTATTAACTAACGAATAAAAGATAATTCTGAAATAATGACATTTTACAGCAACGTTACTCAATACTGCAGTGAACAGCAGAGACTCTCAGGTTTCTCTGTTTCTTGTATGGATCCTCTATTACAAAGACACCAAAACTGGCAAGGAAAATGAGTGTGATTGGAGATCCCAGGAAAGAAGGAACTAGTACTACAATGATCAACTAGAGCCATGAAGCAGAACATAAAATGTTTAAGAACACCAAATTAGGGGCTTTTTCTCAAGCCTGTAATATAAAGATGACAATCCTCCACTTTTCCTCTTATGCCCTGTTCTCTTCCAGCCCTACACCAGGTGATTCCATGGTAGCTTGCCTCTTCATCTCTCTGTGAACTCAATAATTCCCAATAGACCTGCATCTCTAGCTTCCATTTCCGGGTGTGTGGGTGTTCCATGAACATCACCTAAAATCCAACATAAGCAAACCAACCTATCGTTTCCACACCAAACCTGCCCGTTCTGTATCCCCTACTCAGGTGAAAACACCACCACCAAAACAGTTCAACAATTAACTCAGGTTTGAAACTTGGCTATCAACTTAACACCTGCAATTCCTTGTACCAAAACTCATTCAGTTGGGCCCAAGCCTATCATTCATCTTTTCCCTCCCTCTCCATCCTCACCCACTGTTCTATCCTTGCTGAGCATCACCCTCTCTCACGCAGCTCATCCCCCTGCCCTCTCTAATCCATTCTTTTTAAAGATGTACTTATTTGAGAGAGAGAGAGAACATTTGCACGGGCAGGGGCAAGGGCAGAGGGACAGGGAGAATCTCTCTTTTTTTAAGATTTTATATATTTGAAAGAGAGAGGGAGAGTAAGCATGAGAGAGAGTGAGAGAGAGAGAGAAAGCCAGCAGGAGGAGAGGTGGAGGGACAAGCAGGCTCCCCACTGAGAAGGGAGCTCGATGAGGAATCCCATCCCAAGAGCCCATCGTGACCTGAGCCGAAGGCAGGTCTTAACCAGCTGAGCACCCAGGCACCCCGAGAGGGAGAATGTCAAGCGGACTCCTTGCAGAACAGCGGGCAGCTCAGTCCTACGACCCTGAGATCATGACCTGAGCTGAAAGCAAGCGTCGGATGCTTAATCAACTGAGCCACCCAGGCATCCCTCTAATTCATTTTCAACATAAAAAGCATCTTTATTAATTGCAAATCTGATTTACCACTTTACCGCCTATCAAAATTACCAGGATAAAGTCAAATTACTTAGCATTGTTTTTACTGTTTTTCACATGGGACCCTGCTCTTCCAGCCACTGTTTGATGACTCCCCAGTTTTCACACATAGAGAGTGCCATCCTCTCTTGAATCCATATGTTTGTTCCACGTACAAAGTACAACTTGTACTTTCTCTCTTGGTCTCATCCCAGTTCCAATCTTCTCTTCCCCATTTCTCAAACCTAGCTACTGCCCACTCATCCTCTGACCTCAGCTTCAAGGTCGTTTCCTTTGGAAATGTCCTCCCTCTTCCCTGACCCCCAGCTCCTGGTTGGCTGCTCTTCAACTGTGTTCCCACCATACCCCTAATTCTTACCTATTAGTTTATATTAAAGTTATTTGTTTGGTTATCTTCATTTTCCAGGAGTGCACAGGCTTTGTGAGAAGAAGAAAATACATTCACTGGCTGCCCTCTTAAATCCCAAGAGGCCAGCAGAGGAACTTGTCCCCATGGCTGACATAATAAGAAGTTCTCATCTGTTCTTGCTAGCTGAGTCTTGGTCAAGTTACCTCATGTGGGACCTCAGATGCACTTATTTATGTAAAATGAAGGCTTCTGACCACAAAGGACTACTATTTTCCAAATATTAAATTTTAATGAAAATATGTCTAGGAAATGACGGCTTAAAGTTGAAGAAATCAATTTCTTTATTACCCTGTAAATTTAATTTCTATAGTACAAGTAAACTTAGAAAATAAGAGCAAAACACTTTAAAAACACTGATTTAAGTCTTTGCTAAATTTTTGGCTCATTCTGATTTCCCCCAATGACACCCAATTTCATTATACATTAAAATCATATATCTTACATTTTCATTCATATGGGTTTTAAGTTCCAAATCAGAAGTAAATATCCCTGAAGGCAAAATCCATGGGATAATACAAAAAAAACTTAGAAATCTGAGAAGTTCTATTCAAAGGTAAAATATTACTAACACCACAAATTTGCATTCTATCTGAAATCATAATTAGTGCTGGGCTCTCCATCAGGCTAAAGGCTAAGAGAAATAATGCTTTTAGCTCTTCTTGCCTTTTGGAAGGAAGAACAATTTACGTGCACTAAGGGTGATTAAACCTGTCCTTGGATATTTTCTGCAATGTGTGAACCTTGACTGGATCTTGGTTTGAAGGGAAAGGGCAGAGGAAGAGGGGAATCTCAAATACACACTTGGCAGCAAATGCGAAAATATGAATATGGACTGTAAATAAGAAAGTTAATTTTTTTAGATAACAATAATGGTATTGTGGTTACAAAGGAGACTGTCTTTAGGAGATGCATGATTTAATATTAGAAGTGAAGAGCGACAAGGTCTTCAACTTATTTTCAAATAGTTCATTAACTAAATATTAGCATATGCATATATGGGAAGATAAAGCAAATCTGGCAAAATCTTAACAATTGTTTAGTCTAAGTGCTAAGTGTACAGATAATCACCGTACTAGCCTTTTAACTTTTCTACAGTAGAAACTTTTATAATAAAAAGCTAGGAAGGGGTGCCTGGGTGGCTCAGTGGGTTAAAGCCTCTGCCTTCAGCTCGGGTCATGA